TGGATATTTTTATTTATTTATTTTAAATGTATTTCTTTTTGGTGTTCTAGAAAACAAAAGTGTATTAAAATGTATATTTAAATTTATTATTAAAAATATTAAAAGGATTTTTTTTTGTAAATATCATTAATTTTTGAATTAAGTATTCGAGTAAATGTAATATATATATATATATATATAAATAATGTCCTTTTCATTTAATTTTTGGCCAAAGACTACCTTATGGCATTTGAGTTAGGATATGTATCCCAAGATTGCATGTTGACATTATGTAAACATTTTCCTTTTATTCAATTACATAAACATGATGCTTGTGACAAGAGAAATTAGACTTGAGTGTTGGAAATGTTGACATGATTAAGCTAATATAAATGACATTTTTGGCCAAACTAAAGTTAAATTTTTAATAGTATATTTGAATACAAGTTAAAAATATTTTTAAAAACTTTTTTTATATTAAAAATAAGGAGTATTTTTCAATTAAAAAAGCTTTCATTTTTTAAGTTTATATCTTAAGAGATTAATAATAAGTGTCAAAATTTCATCTTTAAATATTTAACACAATTATATACTTAAAACTCCAACTTTAAAATTAATAATTGAGTTAGAACACAATTTTGCATTGATTATTCCATGCACACAGCGGTAGAAGGTATAATTTTTGGCGTTTCCTAAAAGTTTTAAAAGACTCATTTTATAGTTGTTTCTGATAGGAAAAAAATACATACAAAGAGTTTGATGATAAAATGGATTAAACACTCGTCTTTTCTTTGATTAGATAGCAATGTTGTTTTAAAAAGAATTAACATATAATAAGCATCGGTGGTTGGTTTTATCCAATTCTAATAAAAGCCATCAAAAATATATTTATAGGTAATAAGTCTAATAGATACTTACATGCACACAGTTGCTACTTATTTAGGATATGAATTGTTAGGTTATTTAATATGTATGCTCATATACGTGTATACCTTAAACATTTGACACTACAATTGATTTTGCCTGTGAGCAACAATGATCTATAACACTTGTCAATATGTGAACAACACTGAAAACAACAAATTACGTACTATTGTTGAGACCACTCGAAGTGAGAAGACTCGAAAACAGA